CTTCGATCGCAGTACCAAATACGTCGCGTACCATGTCACTCGTGCCAAATTCCTCCTCGAATTTCGCCCACTTGATCCAGTTTCGAGGTTCCGGGTGGACGAGTGTGAATGCTCTGAAGATATCTCTGGCTCGGTCGAACTCATTGTATCTCTTTTCCAGCTTAATGTATGCGCTCCACGCAGCTTCATCGGGTTGCCATTGCATCCAACGATCAAATACTTGGCGGGTTCCTGGAACGTTGCCCAGCATCTCTTCCATGTACACATATTTGTACCAAAGTTTATCGACACGAGGTAATCGTGTGACGGCCCTGTCGAGAAGATTACGCGCATGGTTGATGTTTCGGCATTTCACTGGGAGAAAGTCAGCTGTTTGTCTTGTCACAGAGGGTTGGGGTTGGTTTCCATACTCTCCGACTCGATGTACCTGATCCATAACTTGATCTCGTTGGGGTGCACATCGAGCGCGCGCTCGAAGATTGATCTTGCGCGCGCAAATTCCTTTTGCTCCAGCTCCCAGTCCGCATATCGCATCCAGTTATTGAGGTTGACTCTATTGCGTCGAACATAGTCTTCGAACTCTCGTCGTTTCCGGCCCTGGAATTCGTGAAGTTCCTCTAGATCGGCGAACCGCTGAGTAGGTGCCTGTAGAGCGACCTCTTGTCGGTCAACAGCCTCTCGTAGAAGTTGCTCTGCAGAGATCTGAACAGGCGCAGCGGCCTTGTTCTTGACCTTCGGGGGTCCTCGTGACGCCTCCATGGTGTCGAGCAAAGTCGAAATCGATTAAACTCGGGGAAGCGCGTGAAGTCGCGTGTAATTGGGGTCGCTAAATGTGACGGTACAAAACTTCGGCTTTGTATGGGTACCGGCAGGTTGAATCGCGTCACCTTATTGCCCAATTGATGATATTCTGCACCAGTCGCAAACACCAACGATTCTCAGGCGACAGGCCCAAGGCTGAAGCGTTGGAAAAACGCAGCTCTTATCGGCACCAGCCACTCCGATAACGAGCTTCTGTGGCTTAGACCCACCCGTCGCGCCAAAACTTCCGTAGCCTCGCGAGGCTTCCGTATCTTTATATCCTCCCAATCTCACAACTTCGCCACGCCGTACTTCCTTCCTAGGCGACTTTACCATCCAACAGCCACTTCGGTAGCTGCGACTGGCGACATGGCGACTCTAGCAGATGAGCTGCTGAACGATTTCGAGGACTCTGGCTCGGAAGCAGAGGAGACTCAGCAAGACAATGATCCCCTAAGACTTGATCATGCGCCCGAGGCGAGCGGTCGCAAAGCATCGGGCAGCATGGATCTGGACGATGACCAGAGCGAACCTGAGGATCAAGATGAAGAAATGGGTGGGACACCCAAGGGTGCTGTTGATCCTGTCGAAGATGCAGAGGATACAAAGGCAAAGGTCGAGAAGATGCAGCTGGGTGGCGTCAACGATGTTCGCAGTGTCGCCAGTCTCATGTCAAGTTTGGAGCCAGTACTAGAGGTAAGTGACGCACCCGAAAGCACCACTTGCTTGATGGAAGCTGTGTTTACATCGTCTCTTGGGAGAACTAGCCCTAACATCGTCACTCGAACGCTACAGAAAATCGCACACTACCAGTCGCAACCGACCCCCACAGAACTGCTAGGCAACATCGAAGACCATCCCGAATACCACCTCCTGACACAATCGAACAGTCTGTCGACTCTCATAGACAGCGAGATCGTCTTGGTACACAAGTATATCAGGGACCACTACTCAATACGATTCCCAGAACTGGAGACGCTCATCACCAACCCACTGGAGTATGCGAAGGTCGTCGCGATCTTGGGCAATGGACCGCTTGATTCGGAGAATATCAAGAAGCTTCAGCACTCAACGGAAAATGTCCTTCAAGCTTCCCTGAAGTCCGTTCTTGACGGCCCATCCCTCATGATCGTAACAGTGGAGGCTACGACAACGAAGGGCAGAGACATGTCGCAAGAAGAACTGGAACGCGTATACAGAGCCTGTGAAATGGTCATTTCCCTCGACAAGGCGAAGAAGACCCTAACGGGCTATGTCCAGTCGCGCATGAATCTGTTCGCGCCGAATTTGACTGCTATGATCGGTTCTCTGACGGCTGCTCAACTGTTGAACGCCGCCGGTGGACTTACTGGTCTGTCGAAGACGCCCGCGTGCAACATTGCAGCGTGGGGTTCAAAGAAAGGTGCTGGTGCCGCGGGCTTGGCTACGAATATTGGCGTCAGACAGCAGGGTTTCCTCTACCATTCACCCATCATTCAAGGCATTCCCAACGATCTCAAGAGACAGGCCATGCGCATCGTATCAGCGAAGCTGCTACTCGCTGCCCGCGTCGACAGAATTCACTCCAGCGCCGATGGCTCGACGGGCGAGGATCTGAAAGAGCAGTGCCTCACAAGACTCGAGAAGCTCACGGAACCGCCTCCAAACAAGGGCCCCAGAGCTTTGCCGGTACCAGATGACAAGCCTTCCCGCAAGCGTGGTGGTAGAAGGGCAAGGAAGGCTAAGGAGGCTACGGCCATGACGGAATTGCGCAAAGCCCAGAATAGAATGGCCTTTGGCAAGGAGGAGCGTGAGGTCGGCTACGGCACAGGGGAGACCACGGTCGGCATGGGTATGATCGGTCAGGGTAACGACGGCAGAATTCGCAACCTCCAAGTCGATCAACGCACGAGGGCCAAGCTCGGCCAGAAGAACAAGGGCTGGGGCGGCGCAACGCCCATGGGAGGAGCGGCATCCTCGCTCAGGGGTTTTGGACAATCAGCAAACTCCAACATTGACCTACGCGGCAAGGGCCTGAGGACGTCAGGTGTTGGCACATCGCTGGGCGCGGGAGCGGGCACGGCATCCTCGCTGGCCTTCACGCCTGTACAGGGTCTGGAGCTCGTCGACCCCAAGGTCCAGGCTGAACTCAGTCGCAAGCGAAAGGCGGAGGAGGACCGGTGGTTCAAGGGTGGCACTTTCACCCAGGTTGCGGGCTCGTCCAATGATGGCTTCAAAAAGCCAGACTTGCCTCCCAGTAAGAGGGTTGATACCGGCGCCGGCAAGATGGGACCTCCACCTCCGAGGAGCGGCTGAGTGAGCCCGCCTAATCTAGCCGATGTGATTGTGGCAAGAGAGGAGGATGTTAATGGACTAAGCAAGGATTCAAGAGTTTGGGAGAAGAAAGTCTACAAAGCATATCTCTTACCCGAAAAGCTAGCCCCGGCAGACGAAAGGGAAAATGAGGGGGGAGGGTGGGTTGTTTCCAGGTTGTCAAACGGGTTCCGCGGCTGAGCAAAGACGAAGCGAGTGATCACTCGGCCGGCGGGAAACGGCGTGCGGCGTTTTGGGGATGGTTTTCCATTATTCGAGTCATCGAATCAGTATCAGTATCAGTAGCAGCATACCATTTAGGCATTCTAGGGCGGGAAATGGAAATCAGACGAATTCTTTTTTTCCCCGTTGCTCAACTCTGGGATCCCGTTCTTCTGTCCATGTCCGAGGGGGAAAAGGAGGGGCCAAAGACGTACTAGGTGTATGTTTGTCCGTTTCCTCACTACAAAGCAAAGCCCACGATTGCCGGCGCATTGCCGTTTCTACGTCTTGTCGGCAGTTCTTCATCTCGGCTCCTCCATGTGTGCTTGTGCGCTCGCGTGTGTTATGTGAAGAAGAAAACTTTGAGACGATTGGAACAAGATGTAGATTGGAAATCGCATGTCATGTGTGTAATAGCCCAACGGCCATGTCGATCAAACGTCTTTTTTTGGTCCTAATTCTTCTCTCTCTCTCTCTAGAAGGTGTCCGTAAGCTTCCCGTCGTCTCCCCGTGTGCTATATCCCCTTTACCAAAACGCCAACGTTTTGTTCCTTTTTTCGAGGTAGTAGCTCTTCTCCATCTTTACCTTCCCGTCGCAAAAAAAAGCATGGTTTCGTAGAAACGTCTTTGCGGTTCATGCCAAAAGAAATCTGAAAATTTCTGTTTCTTGGCTCCTTTGAAACAACGTTTGCTTTGGGGGCCTCACCATCCGCCCAATCTTCACGACCCTTTGGTTCGAGGGTGAACGAACGGTCGATCGTCATCCGTGCCTTGAAAAGTTGAAAGGTAACAAACGTGCTTGGGCAGCGTGGAGGCGTGGCAGCGTTTGTTGGGCGAGCAACGCATCGCAACGCATCGCAACGCAAAGACTTTGGGTACTTAAAAAAAATTAAACGCTCGTCCCTTTCTTCGAGAACCACGCAGAAGTGCAGATATTGGGAGGGATGGAAACAGTTAGGTACGAAAAATGGAGAAATAATGAGAAAAAGAACACGAGGGGGAAAACCGTCGGCAGGTCGAGAGTCTAATTAGACAAGAGGAGGGCCGTGATGGCCTTCTTTTGCCCTTTTGGCCATGCCTGATGGGGTCTGGGCTCACCCAAGGGAAGAACGTTTCCTCTGTGCACACACACAATGTCGTCTTTCCACACGTCTTGATGTTGGGCTCATCCTCGTCACCCACCTATCAAGAACACGCCGCCTTCTGCCGCGCGAGATCTCTGAGAAACTAGACTTTTCTCCCAAGGTTCAGCCATTGTTCGGTAGGTTCTGCATTGAAGAGCTCGCTTACCCTCTTTCTTTATCTCGAAGCTCCCCGACTGTACCCCCCCACCGTTTGCGCGAAAGCTCTAATTTGGAGTAGGGCCGCGACAGGCTCGAACGGGGCCACGAGGCGACGATGCCCATAAGATTGAGAACAGACGGGATGCATCCTTAAGGGAACAAGGAAAGTTCTTTAGGGACTATCATACACAGGATGAAGCCCGCCCAGCATCTGTGCCCATACCTACCTACACTGTCGAGAGGTAGGGCCACCAGCTCACGCGACCACGCCGCGCAAATATTGAACGCCCGAACCTGTCGCCGTTGCGAGGCTTTCCAGACTTCGACTGGACCAGGATTTTCCGGGGTATCCCGCTATGAAACGCTGGTGATGGAACCTCGAGCCTATGCTTTTCTCTGCCCTCACGTCCCCCAAATATGGCGTGAGTTCGTTGTATGTGTATAGTTTTTTCTGTGTCTCTTTGGCTTTCTCTTGTTCAAGGTTCTATACTGGACCCCGAGGATCTCGGAGTCGATTCCGACGGGCGAACAGTGATCACGCCAGGCACAGATCGACAGTTGACGATAGAGTTCGAAGCAACGTTGACACGAGCATTGCTTGACAAAAGCTCTGTGGGTTTGTACTCGTACGTTCCCGAAAATTACGCATTCTTTCGGCATGCCAATTATTGTCCTCTTCTCGGGAAGTCGACCATATTCTTCTACCAAGCCCGTAGGTAGTTGTCATTGTTCTGAGCTCATTGGCGCAATGGGTGCAGATCTCAATTGGGGGGGGGGGGGGGGTTGCAAACTTGCGCTGGGCTTACCTAGCAATGCGCCATTCGTGCCTGGAATAATGGGCACATGTTTCGTTTCGCAGTGGCCCCCGTTGGCCCAGCAAAAGTAACAAAAGTCCGGAAAGCACCTTACTGTATCCGTACGGAGTACACCATAGGGCCCGTCGGGAATATCGTCCGCGGCCGAAAGACAAGCGGGGCCGGTAACGCATGCCCTCGGCCACAATGACGTACCGCTTACCATGACACGAGGGTTGCCAAAGCCGGAGTTAGGTCCCTTGAAAATCTATAGGTTAGGTATTACCCTTAGTATGAGTGGGGAGTCAGAATGCAAGCTGCAGCCTGCACTGCGCAGTCCGCACCGTAAACCATGATCGATAGAGGTACAGAGGGAGGGGGCGCTGCCTCACATGGACAGAGTCCCCGCCCCGGTGAGCTTTGCGAGGTCCCTGGAGTTTTTCTGTATCTGTCTCCGTACCCGCATCGTTCGCAAGGGTCTGAGGGAAGGGGAGGGGTTAGAGCGGACAAGAGAGCAGAAGAGGGGGAAAAGGGACCAAAGCCCTTCACCCTCGTATGTTTGGAAGACCCATCAGAAAAAAAGTAGACAGGCATCCTGTTGGTAATCTCTTGCCGACTGTGGCTTGTCTCATCACTTTCTCTGGCAACATGGACGTCTTCTCTTGCATCAACACATCAGCATGGACCCGAAATCCCATGGTCTGGCAGTTCGCTTTGATGGCACCTCCGAAATTTGACTTTGTGGCTGCAGCTGGACCCCATGTTAAGAGGACGGTCCAGAACTTCAGGGACCAGAGGATCGTCCTGATAAACGCAGGGAAACCCCCAGTAGCAGACGACTTGTTCCCCAGAAGACCTCAGGCAACAAGGGACTAAGTGCACGAAGAAACAGGCCTGACAGTACGTACCGAAGATACATAACCTTACGAGGTACGGATAAGTACCTTTACCCACCTTAGGTCGTGACCTATCAGGGTTAGCAATTTCATTCCCCCGATAAAAGAAAGGAAAAATTGCCAGACAGCATTCCGTTGGTTGACAGTCCGAGGGTCCGTTATCGTTGATCTCGTGTCTTTCCAACCGCTCGGAGGCTTCTCTGTGTGAAATCAGGACCCAGGAGCACCCCGTCTTTGCTTGACAGCTTGGCGGGCCAATATTCCGAGTTCAGAAATTTTGTCGTTCAAGCTGACGCCAGTTGAATTCGACTTGAGCCTCGAGGGGAAAAGGACGATTAAAGAAAGAAACCGAAAGACAGGCCACTCGCAAGGGCCCACCTGCCAATGCCCCGTCTTCGGGGAAGACGTAGGGATGAAACCCCAATGACGTGAGGGTGATGTTGGATTATATTGGTCCCCAGCCGGACTGCGGGGAGGCACCCTTCTTCCCCGACCAACTGGACCCGGCTGCGGCGTTCGAGGACGGCGCTACAACGCCAGCTGGTTGGATGGGTGCAAGACAAGGTGGAGAAACAAGTACACTCGAAACGCAGGCAGAAAACGGAGCGATACGTGCATTTACTGAATTGAAGCCGGCCCGGAGACTGAGAGCACGCTTTGTTGGAGGTCCCTAAAAAGAACAGCGTTTTCAGGATAAGTCGAAACAGGACGCTGGATCGTGGACTGCGATCTTGTTGGAGGAAGAGAAGGATGAGGCATATTCGACCACTGAAGCGGCAACGAAGGCGAAGAGACGAGCAGACAATCATTGTGTACAACGTGTCAGCCAGCACCTGCATTCAGTCAATACTCAATGCGAGTTACACCGGGACACCGCGCACCCGTGATCGTAGGGGTTGCGCGTAAGGAGGCAAAGAACCTGTTTCTTTCTGCGCCCATGCTATGAGTTGGAATTCGGACATCTGTCTGTATATGCTTAACCCAAATGAAAGTTAACTGTCAGGGTGCAGGCATAAGCGCGCAGGGCAAGCCTGATACGGTTCTTCTGTCACTCTCTGTCAGTCTGCTTGGTCTGTCAGCAAGGCACACAGCCAGGTCCGGATAGCTGTCTAGATGCATAAAATACATGGAGCTACCTTACCTTAGGTAATGAAGCTCCATCCCGCGGTGGGGAGAGGTGTCTCTTTCACAGTTTGCCGGTGGAGTGGAATAGGATTGTGGACTCGTCTAGGCCTTGCCAAGGGGCACCCGATGTATCCGCCCGGCACCACGGCGTGGTTGAAACCAGGATAGGGTAGCTGCGCCAGGTGCGTTGGAAGGCTACAATCTACCATGTCCCTGTGGTATTTCTGGCACGAGTGGAGCTGTCGCGACTGCGCGAAAGAGAGATGGCGAGGGGCGGCAAGAGAGTTTTCGTCTTCGGGGATCAGATGTCTTGCGAGAAACCTATGTATCCGTACCTACGTCACTCTGGCGGTTGAAGGACGACAAAGGACCCGCCGAGAGTGATGGGTATGGAGTAGGTATGGAGCACGGAGTCGTGGGAGTATGGACCTGAGAGCTGCTCAGTAACCATATTTTGATCTTCAGCAATGGGCGTTGATGTCGGCGACCGTGCTGGGTCGAGAAATGAATGAACCAATACAGCGAGGTAAAACATATCAGCCGTCGTTTCTTCGCGCCTCATATCCAATTGGTGCCGAAGGAAGCGTTGCCCTGTGTACGCCTCAATACTCCAGCTCTCGAGATGATTGTCTGCAGCGAATATGCGCATATTCATGTCTTGTCGTCGCAGAGTGACCGGCCTGAAAGTGCGTGCTGTGTATTGTATTCGCATGCATTAAATGGTGCAAAAGCAGAGGCACACCGTACCGGAGCAGGCACTCCGGAACGTGTGTGCCTGTCAATCGGGATCGGTGATCGGTGATCAGTTGTGATCAGGCGGAATATTCTGCGGCTGGTGCGACGTTATCTTCAGGGTCTGAATGGTGCATTAGTTGGGTTGGGCTCCGTCAAGAGTAAGACTACTCGGTAACAGCGAGGGACCTTGGTTCGGTACCCTAGGGGTCGTGATCGTCGATCTAGTGTGTATACATAGAGCTGAGGATGGAGGTGGGGATAAGAGGGGAGACTCGAGAGTCAAGAGTGCGCGCGCGCACACCGCACACCGCACGTCGCACGCCTAGTGTCCACAGACGTTCTCCAAGGAATTGGACGGGAAAGTAAAACGGGGCGCAGGTTTGCGGGGCTGTCGGGTTGGACTTGCACCCTTAAAAACGCAATGTGCGAACTGCGCGAAGTATCCGTTCACGTAGAAAGAGTCGCAGTATCCGTATCCGTACTGGCCAAGGAGGTACCTCATGATTTTACTTACATGACATACCAAAGGTACCTGATGGGCTTATCTGGGTGCGCAGTACCTTAGGAACGCCCTCGAAGGACGCGACGGAATCCAGTCCGAACGGTACCTTGTTTGGATCACCGTTGGATTTCATCCGTACCTGATCCAATTGCAAGACAGAGCAATGATTCCCGACGGGGTAAGAGGATTGGAATAAAGACTGGAATTGTAATAGACTGGCAGAAGTGCACAAAGGAACGGGAACGAACCCTTCTTCAACTCCAACAAGACCATTCATAGCATTCGCAAGAGACTGAGGCAATAGAGGTGAGGAATAGAGGGGATGTCCACGCCAGTGAGTAAATAAGCAGGGCAGCGGCGGCGCATCGCATGATTGACGGCAAACGGACTGGTGTGGGTTCCGTGTCTGGAGTGGTTGAACGGCGCTGTCCGACGGAGCAGCTAAGACCCTGGAGATCGGAAAATACATACCAAATGATGCACCATGCCTACCTCAGCCATCGTCGATGAGGGACAAGTCACCACCACATGGGATTGTACGTACATGTGTGGCACCCTTGTTCGTTCTCCGGTGATTGCGCCACAGGGATGTGGAGCGTTGGAGAAGTGACGGGACGGGGGAAGCGAGGCAGACGAAGAAGGATGTGAGGAGAAGAGGAGCAGAATTGACTGGATAGTTGCATGTCCGGACTTACAAGAGGCTACCGTAGATAATTTAAAGGGGCACTTGACGAGGAGGACGGATACATGATAAGGTACGGAGCACCTCGCAAGCGGATATTAGGATCAGAGCCAAAATGGGGTAAGGAACCTCAAGGGCAGGAACTCTGGGGCACCATTCCGGATGTCGCAAAGCAGGGAAGAGGGGGACGCAGGACTACGTCTACAGCCACCCCCTTCTCACCCCAGCTGGGGCCCGAAGACGGGCGGTTGGGAGCAGGGGTTATCTAACAATGGCAGTTCGTCGAGGGGTCCAGCAAGCAACACAAGTTACAACACACCAACATCAATCAGGTGCAAGGAACCTTTGGTGGGGCCGCACCTGCCCGCTAGCCCGCCCAGCCCGTTTTGAGCACAATGGGGCCCATACGCTTTTTTAAACCCCGATTCACTGCCATTCTCGAGATCTCGAGGTTCACTGGTGAGAGCAGTCAGCCGTAGGACCCTTCAAACTCTGTGACGCCGCAAAGGAGAGGGATAAAAAAAAAACTTGCTTTGCCCAACCCGCCGACTCGTTCCTTGGAATGGCGAAGCATTAGCGCCGCCGCCTTTTGGAGCCACACGTCCCCGAAACCCCATCTCCTCCCATGGCAATCACGATCTGTTTGTTATATGGCGATTGCCATGGCATTACACTTGCAGTTGCAGACTTTGCTGGATCACTGAGACTGGCCAGTTCATCACCCCAACACCAGAATGCCCCTAGGGTCCTCCTCGTCCCTGATTTCTCGCCCTGCGTCGTGTGCCCTCGCCTCGCGTAGCCCCGATGCTCTGGGGCTTCCCCTCCGCGACTCCCAAACTTGTCACGTCGATTCCGTAGATGTCGTGTCTCGTTGTTGAAGCACTATGTAAGTTGGACTAGGAGTACCTTTGTAGCCGCGGCTCCAAGCTGCCTCACCGGTCGAGAGCTAGAAGCAACTCTGTGCGGTACGTATCTGATAGCCGTACATCCGTCCCCCCTCGTCTTAAGTAAGCAGTCTTGTCTTCTTTGGTGCTGGTGCCCAGGTTGCCCAACCTTACGGATACCTTAGTTCTAAACGGCAGGTGTGTATGGTCCACGTTCCATGAGTTCGTCAACCGGTGGTGCCATTCAGGGCATTACATAGTACACCTCTGCCCACAGCACGGTACCTGGCTGTAACTACTTACCTACCTACCTGGGCCTACCTACGTATCCGTACGGGAAGCCACCGTTCCCGTTTTCTGGAACGTGCACCGTACTGCTTACGAGGGTTTCGCCTGCCGATTGTCCAGCCATACAGATGTCGACCGGAGAAAACTCCGCTACTATGCTAACCCGCCAAAAACAGGACAGCTAAAGGCCGACGGTGCTTTTTGACATTGCGCACCATGTTTCTGACAAACGGCCAAATATCAACCATCATCACTCAAAGGTTGGCCGATGTATCAGCATACCTCGCTCAATTTGATTGATGGTGATTATCTCAGCGATCGTTCCACCTCTCATCTGTTACATTGCGGCAGGGTCACTTACTCGTGAACTCACAGATAAACATGGGCACCGTCTGCAGCGAGCCACTATCACACAGTCGCGAAAACGACCAGACCACCAGGCCTGGGTCTGGGCCCACGGGGACAGTGCTGTCACGTCACAGCAAAGAGGAGAAGGACTCAGGAAGCAGTGCCGGACTTCATTGAAGCAAAGATTGCCGTCTTTTCGCGTCTTCTGACATCACGGACAATGATCAACGAACACCTC